TTATACTGAGATTCAATTACTTCTTAGGGGATTTAGAAAAGCTCTCTTATAAACGAAAACAATTTGTTCTCCAGGATTTCTCTACATTTTGCTGCATTCCTTTTACCTTCTTCCTTGGCCTACCACTGAGAAGCACTGCCACAACATGACGCTGCACCCGCCGTGTTTCACAGTTTGGCTGATACGTTTGTGGTGATGTGCAGTATTTGGTGCCTGCCAAGAATGGCATGGAGACCATTTCCTGTCTCGTATGACAATAGACGGTAGTTTAAGACTTTTCATACAGTTTTAGAAATACATTAATAGATGCTAATAAACAAATCATTCACTTACTTTTTTAAATAAGAGATGAATGCAAAAGGTGTTTTAATAGGAGATTTTTTCTTTTTACGGGATTTGAACCAATGAAGTTAAAACTTTGCCACTTGAGGAGTTCTAGGTAGAACACATTTACAGACAAAGACGGTTTTTCTTAAATCCAAAACACATTCATAGACTTTTCTACAGATTTGGTCTAATTACTATGAGTCTGTTGCTCTTTAAGGAGATGGTCTTTTTTTGAGTCTGTATATTCCAGTTAAAGATCCACCGACTACGAAATTAGTTGACAAGTATTTCAATAATTGATTCATCATAATTAATCGTTTCAGCCCCACAGTAGCGTATTGCAGAAACTCTAAAGCACATCAAGAAAAGGACTGGACTTTAAAAGCTAGAGGTTCTTAACAAACTCCAACTGTTGCCATCTTCAAATCGTGACCTCTGTGACGTCCTGGAGGACTTTGACCCCAGGAACAGATGAGGAGACGGTACTCAACCAGAGAGAGGAGGGCTGCTGTTCATCTTTAAGAAAGCTGCAAATAAATTGTAAAAAATGGTCATGATGAGACCACAACTAGGGATCTCAGTTTTCAATTCTGACTAATTTAAATGTAAATTAAAAAAGAAAAATGATCATGTGTCTCAGTACGTAAATTACCCCTGTTGAATGTAAGAGCAACAAAGATTTTTTGATAAATCCTGGAAATAACTAAAAATAAATCCAACAGAAGGTCTGAACACATTTATCATTACTCTTCAAAGCAAGAAGTGGGAGTCCGGATGTTATCTATTTCTCTAAATCAAGGATTACCACAGAATTTCTCAGACAAACAAAGCCATCATCTTTACTGAGTCATGCCGTCTGCGCGTCAGAATGGCGTAAAGCTACTTGTGGTGAGAGAATCGACGTTCTGCACACAGTTTGTGGTCATTGTGCCCCGGTTTTCCAGTAAACTCCTTCAGGCTGGAATAAAAATAGTTTCATAAAGAGAGCCGTTTTATGACAATGAA